CAACCACAAAAAGAGGAATGCGATGAAAAATATACCAATAACAAGAAATAGGGAGGCTGTATGGAATGATGTGGAGAAGCCAGGAGGCAATCAGTCAGAATAGAACAAACAAGAAGACAGAGGACTGCAAAAGAGAAGGGTCTAAGACAAAAGAAGGTGTACAGATTTGATACTATGCTTAAGGAACAGGAAGAAGACAGGGGCATGATAAAGACACACATACAAGAAAAAAGCAATTAAAGAAACTCCAGGGCCGAGTGCGGTAACTCACGCCTGTAATCTCAATACTTTGGGAGGCTGAGGCAGGCAGATCACTTGAGGCCCTTGTTTGAGAACAGCCTGGCCAACATGGCTAAACCTCATCTCTACTAAAATACAAAAATTAGCTAGGTGTCGTAGCACATGCCTGTAATCCTAGCTACTCAGGGGGCAGAGGCACAAGTCGCTTGAGCCCGGAGGCAGAGGTTGCAGTGAGCCAAGATTATACCATCAAACTCCAGCCTGGACAACAGAGTGAGACACTGTCTCAAAAACAAACAAACACACAAAAAGAAAAAAAAATATTTTAAAAAAAAGAATAAAAGAATCATTAAAAAAACAAAAACAAAAACAAATAAGCCCTCCAGAAAAAAACAAAAGATACTATAATTGTTTGCATTATATTGGCCCTAAATATTTAGTCATAATATGCATAAATTTTATAAGCCAATAGTTGATAGAATAAGAAACAAAGGCATATTATTTCAATCTACCATTATAATGGATATAGGAACAAAAACCTTCATTATGTAATTACGCTGGAAAATACGAGAGAGAAGAGAAATGGTGGGTTGTATGAACTAAGCTTCTTATAGCAGAAAGTTAATAGAAAGTCTATGATAGGTAAATCAATAAATAATAGCATAAGAATATTATTACTGTTATTGTTCTTTTTTTGAGACACGGTCTTGCTCTTTCACCCAGAGTGAAAAGGTTTCAGGCTGGAGTGCAGTGGCATAATCACCGCTCACTATAGCCTCAACCTCCTAGATTCAAGCAATCTTCCTGCCTCAGCCTTCCAGGCATCTGGGACTACAGGTGTGTACCAACATGCCCAGCTAATTTTTAAAAGTTTTTGTAGAAACAGAGCCTGACTATATTTCCTAGGGTGGTCTCAAACTCCTGGGCTCAAGCAATCCTGCCACCTTGGCCTCCCAAAGTGCTGGGATTACAGGTGTGAGCCACTGCACCCAGCCAAGAATATTATTTAGAGATATGGAAGTGCAGTCATGTCTCCATATCCATGAGAGATGGGTTCCTGGGCCTCTTGTGGATTCCAAAATCCATGGAGGCTTAAGACCCTAACATAAAATTGTATAGTATTTGCATATAACTTAAGCCTATCCTCTTGTATACTTTAAATCATCTCTAGACTATTTCTAATACCTAATACTACATAAATTCTACATAAATAATTGTTATGCTTATTGTTTAGGGAATACAAATAAAAAGTCTGTACGTGTTCAGTACAGACAAAACCATCCTTTTTATTCCCCCTATTTTTGATCCACATTTAGTTGAGTCCATGTATGTGGAATTCGTGAATATGGAGGACCTATTATAATCAAAAGAATAACTAAAAGTGCCCGTTTCTGGTGGCAAGGTCTGGGAAAGGGGCGGCAGGCACCATGTCCGGCCACAAAGGTGGCAAGGAAAAGCCCCTGAAAAGGCCCAAGAAGCAGGCCACGGAGACGGATAAGGAAGATAAGGCTTTCAAGCAGAAACAAAAAGAGGAGCATTAGAAACTCGAGGAGCTAAAAGCAAAGGCCGGGAGGAAGGTGGAATTAAGAAATCCGTCAGGGGGGAGGATGCAAGATGGCCAATCGCTAACAGCTCGGGATTGCAGCACTCAGTTAAAGCGCAGAGAACTAGAGGAGGCCACACTTACAGACAAATTCAGGTCGCTCACGGAGCAGAAGATCCCCAGTGGAGGAGTTAAACCGGTCGCCAGCACAATTCTTGTGGCCGGCGCAGCGGTTTCGCCGGCACCTAGGCGTGGCAGCTCTCGGAGCAGAGCAAACAGGGCTGGCTTCCCTTCGGACCCAGGTTTGGAGGACCCACACGGGCCCCCAGCACGACTCCTGAGGCCGGTGCAGCGGCTGTGATGGCACCTCAGCACGGCAGCTCTCAGCACAGAGTAAACTAGACTGTTTCCCCTTCTGACCGAGGTTTGCAGCCCCGGGAAGGCAGAGTCGCCTATTACCGACACAAGAAGGAAGCCAGACAGGAGAATCCTGGGCAGAAAACACCATCAGTCTTAACGCCGCCTGGTTCTGGCCCTGGGAACTAACAACTTGGACGTCCACTCAAGAGACCTAATCTGAAAGTAGGTAATTTCAAAGACGACAGGAGGATAAATTTACAATGATGGGAAGAAACCAGCGTAAAAAGGCTGAGAATACTCAAAATCAGAATGCCTCTCCCTTTAAAGATGATCACAGTTCCACATCAACAATGGAACAAGGCTTGATGGAGAACAAGTGCATCCCAATGACAGAATCACTCTTCAAGGAATGGATAATAAGAAACTTCTGTGAGTTAAAAGAGCATGTTGTAGCCCAACGTAAAGAAACTAAGAACTTTGAAAAAAGGTTTGATGAAATCCTATTGAGAATAGACAACTTAGAGAGGAATATAAGTGAATTAATGGAACTGAAGAATACAATACAGGAACTCCGAGAAGTATGCACAGGTTTAAACACTCGAATTGTTCAAGCAGAAGAAAGGATATCAGAGGTCAAAACCCAACTTAATGAAATAAAACAAGAAGACAAGATTAGAGAACAAAGGATAAAAAGGAATGAGCAAAGTCTCCAAGAAATGTGGGACTATGTGAAAAGACCAAATTTACGTTTGATAGGTGTACCTGAATGCAACGGAGAGAATGAATCCAAGCTGGAAAATACCCTTCAGGATATTATTCAGGAAAATTTTCCTAAACTAGCAAAGCAGGTCAATATTCAACCCCAGGTAATACATAGAACACCACAAAGATATTCCTCAAGAAGAGCAACCCCAAGGCACATAATCGTTAGATTCACTAGGGTTGAAACAAAGGAGAAAATACTAAGGGCAGCCAGAGAGAAAGGTCAGGTTACCCACAAAGGCAAGCCTATCAGACTTACAGCAGATCTCTCAGCAGAAACTCTACAAGCCAGAAGAGAGTGGGGGCCAATATTCAACATCCTCAAAGAACAGAACCTTCAGCCCAGAATTTCATATCCAGCCAAACTAAGCTTCACAACTGAAGGAAAAATAAAATCTTTTATGAACAAGCAAGTACTCAGAGATTTTATTACCACCAGGCCTGCTTTACAAGAGCTTCTGAAAGAAGCATTACACACAGAAAGAAACAACCAGTATTAGCCTTTCGAAAAATATACCAAAAAGTAAACAGCACCAACATAAAGAAGAATTTACATCAACGAATGGATAAAACAGCCAGTTAACATCAAATGGCAGTAACCCTAAATTTAAATCAACTAAATCCCCCAATCAAAAGACACAGCCAAAACCCAACGGCATGTTACATCCAGACCTGTTTCACATGCAAGGATACACAAAGACTCAAAACAAAGGGATGGAGAAAGATTTACCAACTAAATGGAGAGCAAAAATAAATAAATTAATAAATAAAAAGCAGGAGTTGCAATTCTCATATTGGATAAAATAGATTTTAAAGCAACAAAGATATAGTGGTAAAAGGATCAATGCAACAACAAGAGCTAACGATCCTAACACCTAGATACATAGAGACTTAGATTCAATGAGACAGAAAAGTAATAAGGATATCAAGGACTCAAACTCAGATCCGGAACAAGTAAACTTAATAAATATTTGTAGAGCTCTCCACTTCAAATACACAAACTATACATTCTTGTCAATACCACATCACACCTACTCATAGGTTTAAATGAAACATTGACTGGCCATTATTAATACCCATTTTTTTTTCAGAATAAAGCAATATTTCCGTTCACCCTCCCTCTTTCTCTTCCTCTTTCTCCCTCTCCTTTACTCATTTTTTTTCTTTCCTTCTCTCAAAAAAAAAAAAAAGAAATCCAGCAAAAAAATAAGCTGTTCCTTGTGCCTGAGGATACAGCGACCCCTTATTTCATCCATATTTAAACATCTGTATTCCCTGCCATAACACTCTTTGCCGCCTGTAGACAGCATTAAGTGTTGTCTTGGCACTGTTGTACATTTAAAAATAAACTTTTGTAAAAAAAAAAAAAAAAAAATCTTCTAGTGGCTCATATCTCTTTAGTTGTTTTCACTAAGTCAGTCCTACCATAAATGTGAATTTAAAGTAAAACCAGCTGAGAATCTTGCAAGAGTCTGCCCTTTGGTCCTTGTTAAACCCTAAACTTTGTATCACCTGAAATCAAACCAACTCATTTGACAGGAAAAAAAAAAAAGAATAACTAAAAACAAAAAGTTAAAAATTATTCCCTCTGGGAAGATACTCTAGGTAGGGAGGGAAAGGAGGGACCAGAGACAGCTGCTTTCCATTAAAAATTATTTAATATTTAAACTATGTACTTTGTAATTTTGATAAACTTAGAAATGTATTTTAAAGAAAAAAGCAAGCCAGGAGTGGTGGCTCACACCTGTAATCCCAGCACTTTGGTAGGCTGAGGTGGGTGGACTGCCTGAGCTCAGGAGTTTGAGACCAGCCTGTCCAACATAGTAAAACCTCCTCTTTACTAAAAATACAAAAAATCAGCTGGGCATGGTGGCAGGTGGCTGTAATCCCAGTTACTAGGGAGGCTGAGGCAGGAGAATCATTTGAACCCGGGAGGCGGAGGTTACAGTGAGCCGAGGTCGTGCCATTGCATTCTAGCCTGGGGAACAAGAGCAAAACTGTTTCCTTTAAAAAAAAAAAAAAAAAAAAAAAAAGAAATGTGAATAGAACTCTCAGAATCCCCAGTATGTGATCATAACTACCATCAGATACTTGCCTCCACCTTGATGGCACACCGTCCAATGGCCCGCACAGCTTTTCGAACAAAGTCAACATCTACCTCTGTGGCATATTCCTTCAGTTCTGCCAGAACCTGTTTAAAAAAAATCCAGGAAGTGGTTCATCATTAAGGATTCTTAAATGGCAATCTCATAGCTCAGCTTCTTTAAAAAGCAGACCTTGCTGGGCGCGGTGGCTTGTGCCTGTAATCCCAGCACTTTGGGAAGCTGAGGCAAGTGGATCACGAGGTCAAGAAATTGAGACCATCCTGGTCAACATGGTGAAACCCCGTCTCTACTAAAAATACAAAAAATTAGCTGGGCATGGTGGTGCATGCCTGTAATCCCAGCTACTCAGGAGGCTGAGGCAGGAGAATTGCCTGAACCCAGGAGGCGGAGGTTGCGGTGAGCTGAGATCGCGCCATTGCACTCCAGCCTGGGTAACAAGAGTGAAACTCTGTCTCAATCAATCAATCAATCAATAAAAATAAAGAGCAGACCTTAAGAGCTAAATCATCATCAACTTAAGTCTGCAAAAAGTCTAACCTGAGCAATGTTGGCTTGAGATGCCAAACGAATCATGATGTCCAACTTCTCTAGTTTAACATAGATGGGATCATTGTACTTCACAAAGAAGACTTTGATTTCCTGCTTCAAGATTTCAGGCCTGGAGTACACAGAAACAGAAGAAAGGAAGGTGAAGGCATATGATGATATATCCTTCTGAGACTCTATTAATACCTAATCTGTGCTTCCCTGTTCTCCTCCTGCTCTACTCAGGAAAAAAAAAAAAAATGCATAAACTTCCTCTATACGCCTCTATTCTTATCAGTTCCATTTGGCAGATTATTTTTATCCTTTTTAAGCATCAGGGCACATGTTGTCATGAAGAACTGCTAGAAGAACAACAATCTGGCTCTAAACTACAGCCTGAACCATATCAACCAGGCACTAGACAGTATATCAGAAAGAGACCCTTCAGAAAACAAACTGAATTGTGGAGCAACACCTGGCATTCATTATAGAAATACTGTGATATCAACTGTTAGCCTCCTGATGCTAGGCAAGCAAGTTGCTCTGCCATATAACATTTTCATTTTCATATATTAAAAAAAGATTAAAACTAGCTTAATTTAACATTGACATTATTAAGCTTAATGCAAAATTACAAACACTTTAATCAACACTTCAGTATTTCCCAACCTTTTCTGGACAATTAAGTTGATATTCCTTAGGGCGACGTACTGCACTTCTGGCTCCCCAGAAAGCAAAGTGACAAGTGGAGGGGCTAACTTCTTCAGCAGCATATTGTAGTAGTCAGAATCCTTAGGTAACAATTCTAGAAACTTCATTAGGACTTTTACCGCTGAAAGCACCACTGCTGAGTTGGCATGGGATAGCCGGGGAGTTACCCGTTCACAGATACTGAGGGCAGAGAATGAAAATTAACATCATGAATTATAATTTCTTTGCTGAATACATTCCATAAGGTAATATGTCAGAGTCTAATGGTCCAAGTATCAAGAAATTAAAGAATTAGTCAGAAAAGTCAAAGCTCCATGCTTAGATAAAATTGGGATCCAACACTGCAGAAGCCTCATTCTCAGCAAACTACAGGCAGAGCAGGGACATCAGAAAATTTCAGGAAACCAGCAATAAGGGATGTTCAAACTGGAAAGAAACTAGCAATACTCAAAACACTTGAGCTCACACCATTTACCTTCTTGTTTTATAGTCCTCTTTGTCTCCCCATATTATGTTAGGGCTCCCTGCCTCACAGCCCATTTCTACTCAACCTATAGGAAGTCAAATTAAGCATTCTGAGAATTATTTCATAGGAAGAGACAGCAACCCAGCTGTGACTGAAGGTTTCACTGTAAGATACAGGAGGAGGTAGGTTGGCAGGGAAAACAATCCAACCCACTGTTTTGAGGATAATGAGAATAAGGGACTCTCTGAAAAGGGTTTATTTTTTAAATAGCAGAACACCACTACTGTATTTTCCCACCTCTCCTAGCCCCTGCCACCTACACTTACATGCCTCATAAAATCTTAGATATTTAATTACCTGTTGAGGATCCTTTAGAAATTAATCTAATTGATAGCTTGGGCACATAAGTAGCTAGCTTACTCTATTAAAGAAACAAGCAGGTTGTGTTTCTCTCTTCCTCCTATACCTACTCCTAACTTCCTTTGGGTCTTTATACAAATGCCACCTTCTCAGTGAGTCCTTCCCTGGCCATCCTTTAAAAAGAAAATACAACCCCTTACCCCCAAATGCCCAGCATTCCTTAGATTTCTTCTCCACTTTACCTTCCTTGTTAGTACTTATCACCATCTCACATATTACATATCATACTATCTATACATATTATATATATTCCTACCCCATCCTTCAGAATAAGTGAGGGCCATGACTTTGTTAACTGCTGTATCCTGAGGGCCTAGGAATACATACAGTATGCACTTAAATATTTGCTGAATGAATCAATGAATGAATGCAACGTCATTGGCCAACAGAAAATAAAATTCTCAGTAATTTCCAGACTATATTTGTACTTTCAGTGATGGAAAGATGAGCTTTAGTTCAGTCTAGAGGGAACAATTCCCCAGATAAGTGAAGATCACTTACATTCTAGTAGCTTGGAAATCAGCTTCAGCCAGACCAGTTTTTATCTACCATAATTAAAATATACCAACTTTAATGAAGAGCCAACATTTCTTCAGAAGTACTTTGCCTAGTACAGTGCCTACATATACAAAATGCTCAATAAAAATTAGGGATAATTCCAACTTTGTAAACTATATATACATAAATGTGTACACACACACACACACACACACACACACACATAAAATGTATGTATGTGTAGATGAAATTTAGAAGTCACTTTCTAATAACCAAAGAAAATTTGAAACATTCTATGGTAACAAACAAGCAGAACAATCTAGGTGTGCCTTCTAAAATCTTTAAATTCAGACTGACATGGTTTCCATATCTAATGGAAAGCAGGATATATTTTGCTGACTTTAACATACTCTCATACTGAATTATAGATACACTTCAGCTTGATAACTAATATAAAGCCACTTTCTATGTATCTAATAGAATGAAAAATCTATTACCCCAAAGAGGGATACTTGATAATCTTTGTTGGCCAAATGGCCAAGAACTGTTGCATGGGAGATGTAAGATGGTGAGAGAGATTTCAGCAGAAGTAACTGTATGAAAAACATATATTTCTTAAAAACAGTTTTGCATAGGTTATTCCACCACTTAAAATATTCCTAAATCCAGGGAGAAAATACCTTGAAGATAGCAATAGCTACCCCAGAAGCCAGAAGCCACTGATCTTCCTCAACAGATTTATTCTAATAGCAGACTCTAGAACTTACTGAATCAGGCAAGACTACCAGAAAGTAGCCAGGAAAACAGACTGACCTCTGAGCCTCCCGATCATCTTTAGGGTTATAATTAGACAGACAGTCCAGGATGAAAATCTGGCCCCATTCAGTGCACTCGTTGAGGGCTGTTAGCAGCTTATTAATGTTCTGTGGGTTCAGATCGAGTAAGTTGCTGTTTGGGTGAGACTCACTGATTTCAGATAATGCTGCTACAGCATTAGCCACCACCTGGAAATGAAGAGGATATGACCTTGATTCAACAAGAACAGTACAGCTATAGACACAAACACTTAATAAGCCTTCTCTGGATCACTTCAGATCTTAATTCATAATCATTCCTGAATATCTTACCTAGTCATATAGAAACAGATAAAACCACCAATGATATTATATATATAGCTTCCCAGAGGTCAGGCAATCCAGAATCAAAACAATTTATATATTAGCAGAATCACACATTAATATTAAAACATACATTAACCATCTTAACAGCACTCAAAACTGTCAAAAAAATCAAGGCATATGAATAGCATATGAAAAATCGCGAAGTCTAAACACGAAATAGAAAAATCTAGGCCAAATAATTTTATAGTTGTATAGTCGTATATGTATGGGGTTAGGGGAGGTGACACCATCAATCTACCACAAGTCAGAGTAAAAATATGTGGGCCTGAGACCCTAGTTCCCTAGTATACAATGCTGAGAGAATAGTAATCTCTGTGAAATTCAATTTCTTCATTTGAAAATGAGATAATTTAATCCACCTCACAGATTAGTTTTAGTTTGAGGATAAGATCAGATGACATACGTGTAAGTGCTTTCTACAAAGTCTTACGTAAATTTAAGGTGGTTGGTTATATTACCATAATGCAAGTGTAAGCTACACAGTTTTTCATATTAACATCTTTGGAAATTGGGTTGCATTTTATAATCAATGGCCTGTCAGTTCAATATTAAGCATTTTTCTTTCTTAGTAATACAGAAAATAATAATACATCTTATAATCAGTGGCATTAAAGATTCAATGAAATATAGTATTTCCAATGTATTGTATCCTTCTTTCTGAGAGTAGGGTCAATGAAAAATTGCTACCTTTTTAAAATTTTTTGAGATAGTCTTCCTCTCTTGCCCAGGCTGGAATACAATGGCATGATCTTTACTCACTGCAACCTTTGTCTACCAGGTTCAAAGGATTTTCCTACCTCAACCTCCCGAGTAGCTGGTGCACGCCACCATACCCAGCTACTTTTTGTATTTTTAGTAGAAATGGGATTTCACCATGTTATCCAGGATGGTCTCGAACCCCTGACCTCAGGTGATCTGCCCACCTCAGCCTCCCAAAGTGTTGGGATTACAGGTGTGCACCACTGCGCCTAGCTGAAAAATTGCTACCTTTCACTAGAAAGTACACTTGTATCCTGACTCACGGATCTGGAAATCCATTTAGCTGCAAGAAGAAAAGTCAACACTTTATCAAAATTACAAATTATTTCTAACAAATCTACAACCGAAGAACATCTAAAGTCATGTAAAAGTTACAAAAATACTCAAAAAAACACGCATACATACAAAATACTATATACTGTGGCCTTGTACAAGTAAATTTAAGACCATGTTTTGCAGTGAGGCTCCCAGATGCTGACTAAAGATTAGCAAAGTGAGGCTGAATATAAATATTCTCCAACTAAAAGTTGGCCGGGCACAGTGGCTCACACCTGTAATCCCAACACTTTGGGAGGCCAAGGTGGCCAAATCACTTAGGTCAGGAGTTCAAGACCAGCCTGTCCAACATGGTGAAACCCCATCTCTACTTTTATTCTTTTTTTTTTTTTAAAGACGGGGTTTCACCATATTGGTCAGACTGGTCTTGAACTCCTGATCTCAGGTGATCCACCCACCTTGGCCTCCGAAGTGCTTGGATTACAGGCATGAGCCACCATGCCCAGCCGGTGAAACCCCATCTCTACTAAAAATACAAAAAATTAGCTGGGAAAGGTGGCACGTGCCTGTTAATCCCAGCTACTTGGAAGGTTGGGGCAGGAGAACTGCTTGAACCCAGGAGGTAGAGGTTGCAGTGAGCCAAGATCACCCCACTGCACTCCAAGCCTAGGTGACACAGTGACAATAAACAAATAAATAAATAAATATTCTCCAAGTATAAATGAAAGACGATAAGAGACAGCTTCGGCAATTATATATATTGGAAAGATTCTCAAAAACGTAAAACTACTGTTAGTTCTTACTGAAATCCCTTAATAAAAACTTGAGCAATGAAGAGTTGTATGATTACCATTTTGTTAGCAAGGGAAGAAGAAACATAATGACTACAATCTAGCTATCGATTTTAGTAGTCACATTATCTGGATAATCTTCAGATTATCCCACCATATTATTTTATCTAGAAGATAATTGCCTAGAGAATGTGATTTATTTATTTATTTATTTATTTTTCACACCTCCATCCCCCAAGAATGTGATTTATTTAACAAATAATATACTTACAACAATACCCATTATTATATAAAGGATAATGATGATACAAATGCAATTATCTCAAGCTATACTTCAGTGATCAGAACAATGATGCTAAGATGAAAAATCAAAGACTTACTTGGTAAATATGGTTACAGATATAATATTTTATTCTTGTTAAGACAAATCAGGAAGATTTATCCATCCAACCTACTGGACGGTAACAGGTATGAGGCTCTTTTCTGACTTAATTTTTGTTTGCTAACTCTATAATCAAGCATGAGAAAAGGCACAAAGAGAAATAATAATCCCTTCTATGTGCTTCATGTTCAGGGAAGACATTTTATTTCCCTTGCACAATGTACTTAGTTGACTTTATTGTAGTCTAAAGGATCAAAATATCACATCGGAAGGCCAAATACCTGTTTTTATCTATTGCTGCCAACACACACCCAGTCCTGGTTACCAGTTGTCTGAAATAACTTACCACTCTGTCAGTCAAACCCTTTTCATGTTTAAAAAAACAAAAAGATTAAAGTTTGGTAATAGGAAATACAGACAAAGAAAACGTGAGAACAGAGAGAATTAAAAACAGCAATGGGTAGAAAAAGAATAGAAGGATGCTAAACAGAATGAGCAATTAGAAATCCTCTTATCACAGGCAATTGGAAATTAAACCAAGTGTATAATGCACCTAATGAAGTGTATGGTCTGGTGTTTAAATAGGCAGTGCCACTTATCATCACATTAAAACAAGAAACAAAATGGAGAAAAGTAAGTCTAACTGAAGGATCTAGAAAGATTAGATTAGAGGATTGTTTAGCAAAGCCTGCATGGATAAGAGAGATCACTGCCAAACAGTGACCGTTCAGAAGAGATGTTATCCTATCTTCTATACCAAAACTCTACTGTTTCTCTGAAATTCCTTGAAGTTCCTTCCATTCTATCTCTACACTTTTATCTCCTAATCTCCATACATTTTCAGAAACATTCTGAGGCAGGCTCACCAGGCAGAACTCTGAGTTTTCCTGGTCCTGTAAGCCAAGTTTCTCTCCCTCTTCAATGAAAAATTAAAATAAGTCAGTCACACTGAATCTAAAGTAGATAAAGAAAAAAACTGACTTTGAGACAGCAACCGGGTGGCTAGAGTGTACAGGACAACTCACTTGACAATGTTTATACTGTTTCTTTGGAATTTTGAACTATAAACCTATATTGTCTATTTTTTTCAATAAATATTAAAAATATCACTTTCTCTTCCTCCAGAGAGTCTTCTCCAGACAATAATATCACAGAAGAACAAATCCAACCCTTACAATAACTGCCTTGACTCACCTGTATACTAAAACAAAGGTGTGCTTCTTTCATTTGAACTATTACTTTGATTTTGAACTGTTAACACAATTATGTATAACACTACTCCTGTCAGAAAACTGACATTTCTCTTAGGAAATAATCTTAGAAATTCTTTTAGGAAACACAAAGAGAACAATGGTCTTCTAACTATGATTTCAGAAAAATTAAGAGTTTCCAAGAAAAAAAATTGCATTTTTTTTAAAGAGACAGGGTCTCATTCTGTTGCCCAGGCCGGAATGCAGTGGCACTGATCACAGCTCCCTGTGATCTCAAACTGCTGGACTCAAGTGATCCTTCCACCTCAGCCTCCTGAGTAGCTAGGACTACAGGCTTGTACCACCACACCCAGTCAGGTTTTTAAATTATTTATTTTGAGATGGTGGGGTCTGGCTATATTGCCCAGGCTGATCTTAAACTCTGGGTCTCAAGTAATCCTCCCAGTTTGGCCTCCTAATGTGCTGAGATTATAGATGTGAGCCACCACACCCAGCCAAAAAAAAGGGTTTCTAGAGAAAGTTTTGCTTTAAAAATGAATTTTTAAATAGGATTTCTTTGAAGTATTTTTGTTTGGTTGGTTGGTTTTAAGAGACAGGTTCTTGGCTGTCACCCAGGCTAGAGTGCAGTGACATAATCGTACAGCTCACCATAACCTTGAACTAGATGGCACCACAAGCACATGCCACCATGCCTGGCTAATTGTTTTTCTTTTTGGTAAAGACAGGAGTCTTGCTATGTTGTCCAAGCTGGTCTCAAATGCCTGGCCTCGTGCAGTCTTCCCATCTTGGCCTCCCAAAATGCTGAGATTACAAATATGAGCCACTGTACAGTACCAGGCCTACAAATAGGGTTTCTTAAGAGGGCTTTTTTAGTATGAGTTGATTTATAAAAAGTTGGCATCTAGGTTACAAAGGGACACATTTGCAGCATTAAAAAAATAAAATCTGGCCAGGCATGGAGGCTCATGTTTGTAATCCCAGCACTTTCGGAGGCTGAAACAAGTGGATGACTTGAAGCCAGAAGCTCGAGATCAGCCTGGCCAACACGGTAAAACCCTGTCTCTAATTAAAATACAAAAAATTAGCCTGGCATGGTGGTACACACTTGTAATCCCAGCTACTCGGGAGGCTGAGGCATGAGAATCACTTGAACATGGGAGGTAGAGGCTGCAGTGAGTCAAGATCACACCACTGCACTCCAGCCTCGGCAACAGAATGAAATTCTGTCTCCAAAAAAATAAAAATAAAAAACTAAAAAAAAATCCTTTATTCATCTTGCCTCCCAATTATGGTAAATTCTATTCTTGGGGAGAATGCAACTAAACATTCCCATCCCTCATATCCCCTTAAAAAGCTAACCCAATAAGTATACTTTACAGATATAGATATTAAACACAAACATTA